CTAGATATACTGATTGCACAAAAGGTTCGCTCCAGGTAGGCAAGATTTTCTGGGGTTGGAGCAAGGTTCTTTGAGTGCTGAGGAGAAACTAGGGACACAGAATATTTGGCCAACTGTGGATCAAAGGCTTCTGATCATCAATTGTTTCTTCAACCCACATTCTGGACTGTTCTCTACTGAATGTAGAGGCTGAGAGGAGTGTAGAGGCTTGAACTTAGTCTTAACTCTGTGGGCAAATAAAAATAATGTAGAAGACAGAAAAGAACAGACACATCCAAGAGAAGTGGGACTTTTCCTGCATCCCTCAAAGGTATAAGTGAAATGGCATTGGGATTAAAGAGCTTGGCATGAAGGGCAATATCGTAGGGCTAATGATGCCTGTCTTGCAAAGAATGCTATTCATTCACTGAGCATGAGTCTTGGGGTTTGACTCTAGACACAGGAAAACAAACTTTTGAAAGAATCAGCTTAAATGTGATATGTGGAATAGAATCAGACTGTAAAATCTGTCTTCTTTTACCTTCTGAGAGTTATACTCATTTCTCCCACAGTAGGTGCAAACTCAGAGAGATCATTTGGAAGAGTGAATATTATGACTCGTGTGGCATATGGGGTGGATCCCCTCAAGGTGAAGGCTTACCAGTATCCATGACAAAGAAGAAGCCAGTGAAGATTATTCCTGCCTGTCGGACGAAGAAAGAATTGAAGGTGACAACACAACTCGAACTCATGGAGGGCAGACTTGATGAATCTACCACCTACTTGTTGCAGTGGGCCCAACAGAGAGAAGATTCAATTCATCTATGCTGTCGAAAGCTGAAGATTCAGGGCATAACCAAAGACACAGTCAAAGAAATCGTCAAAACTGTACATGCACACTGTATACAGAAGCTGATTATAAGTTATGTCACCTTAAAAGATTTGGCTTTTCTTAATCCCTACCTGAGACAGATGAACAATCTTCTATATCTCACACTAAGTCATATCACAGACATGCTGCATGTGAATGAGTTGCATATTTCTCTACTTTCTGCATTCCACTGTCTCCGGAGACTCTGTATAAATTTTGTCTCCTTTATGTTTGACAATCTGAAAGAATTCCTCAGGTAAGGAAGGGTCCAATAGTAGACCAGAAAAAACATTTTTTTTTGCCTTGGTTTTGATGTGGTTTTGTTTTGTTTTGTTTTTTGCAAGCTATGGAAGCTTTTATGGTCTGACAAACAGAAACCTATCACTGAGAGACAGCATATTGAGCCAATGAGCCTGTGCTAAGATCTGTATGAACAGGAACTAGCAACTTCTTTTGGTTTACTTGTAAAAAGTTTTGAGTCTAGAAACATATTGAGTAGATGAGAAATATGGGACAATGGGTTTCAATGTGAAGATAGAATCATGGAACTTGGAGGAACAAAACCTCGTAGAACTCTTAAAAACAGCACTAGGAAGTTGTTGAATTTTGTTGAGGATGTTAGTCCTCCCTACAGATAGCATATTGCCCTAATATGTTGCCCCATTGCTGTGGTTTCCTGTCAGGCCCTGAATCATGCCTATGGTGATATCTTAAGGACTCACACTAGAATGTTGTGAGGTATGTGAGCAGAAAACAAAAAGGACATGTCCTGAGGGTTTTCTTTTTTTGTTTTGGTTTGGTTTGGTTTGGTTTGGTTTGGTTTGGTTTTTTTGAGACAGGGTTTCTCTGTGTAGTGTAGTCCTGGCTGTCCTGGAACTTACTCTGTAGACCAGGCTGGCCTCGAACTCAGAAATCTGCCTGCCTCTGCCTCCCAAGTGCTGGGATTAAAGGCGCGCACCACCACCGCCTGGCCTGAGTGTTTTCAATATGCATTCAGAATGAGTTTGGGAGAAATGTCATCTGCTTAGCTGCCAATTGTATCAATCCTCTTCAACACCATTTGACAGCAAGCAATAATGTTTTCTCTCCCCAGGTTCCTGAAGAAACCCTTGGAGTCACTTAGCATCACTAACTGTAACCTCTCACAGTCAGACATGGATTGCCTGCCCAACTGCGTAAATATTTTTGAGCTCAAATCTCTAAAACTAGCTAAAATTAATTTTCCTTATTTACTTATTGAGCCTCTTGGGTATTTCCTTGAGATAGTTAGACATACCCTGAAATACCTGGAATTACAGTCGTGTGGTATACAGGACTTTCAGTTCAGTACAGTGCTGCCTGCCCTAAGCCAATGTTCCAACCTCAGACTTGTCAGATTCTATGATAACAAGTTTTCTTTGCTTTTCCTGAAAGAACTTCTACGCCACACAGCCCAGCTGAGCCAACTGCAAGGGGAGGCATACCCTGCCCCTCTGGAGTGCTATGACAGGGGTATAATCCTCCCACACAGATTAGAAGATTTTTGTCCTGAGCTCCTGGATATACTCAGGGTCAACAGAGAGCCTAAGAAGGTCACCTTTGAAACAATCCAATGCTCTAAGTGTGGTGGTTACTATGTTTATAATCTGGAGACCCAAAGTTGCCTTTTTAAAAAGTAACTACTGTAAGGTTGATTGTGGAAGAGAGAAATGGAAGCTGGGTATTGGAGATTGATGAAATCCTAAGTGTATGGAGCATGGACATGTCAATCACCTATAGGGCTGAAACACACTGGAAAGGCAAGATCTTCCTCTGAGCTGGTAAATGAATGTAGCATCTACAGATAATATGAAGCATTCTTTTCTTCTCTAAGATTATGGTAGTTTGTGTGTATTATAATAGAGGCACCCTTCTATGAGGAGATTGCCTTCTCTTTTAGTCTATACAATAAATATTTGATATTTAATAAATATTTTGGGTTGCTGATATGTCTCTGTTAGAGCACAGAACATTATCATTCTTAGAATTTCTGTACCTGTATCTGGTTTATTCATCCCTCATCACCATAATTATATGTCAATCTCAGATTTTTACAGTTCCTTGCATCCCAGGAACAGGGCTCATTAATGGGACACAAAGCACAGAGCTTAATAAACTGCTCAATGTTTTGGAAAGTAGTTAGTATGTAGTACACTCAGATCACAACAACTGAGTTAGTTATGGAGAACAATGGGATGAGAGGGGAGGCATATTCAGCAAGCATGAAAAATGAGGACCAAGGCAGGCACATTTCAGGAAGTATGTCCTTGTATTTAACCTCTGCTGAAAGACAATATTTGCAACAAATGAATCCTCAGAGACCTGATATCAAAATGAGAAGAACATGATATTACCTTAAGCCATCTAGATCTTCATACTTCCAGAAGAGTTTTTATGTTGGCTAAGAAAAGCTTCATTCCTTAGGCAGAGAAATATGTCCTAACACCAGGCCCTGGTTCCCTGTGACAGGTTCTTGACGGGGGGTTCCCACCTTCATGTGTAGTGTAGCTTCTTTAAGATATTGAAGTGACTCACAGAGGGAGAGAGGGAGAGAGAGAGGGAGAGAGAGAGGGAGAGAGAGAGGGAGAGAGAGAGGGAGAGAGAGATAGTAAGAGAGATAGTGAGAGAGATAGTGAGAGAAATAGCAAGAGAAATAGCGAGAGAAATAGCGAGAGAAATAGCGAGAGAAATAGTGAGAGAAATAGTGAGAGAAAAAAGACAGATAGACAGAGACCGAGAGGCAGAGAGATCAAGATAGATAAAGTGAGAAAGAGAGAATGGTAGAGAGAGCCTCAGAGATATATTTAGTGTTGTCACACTGACTTGGTGGATGGTTCTTCAGTTATGGGTCCTCTTTTTCTGCCTGAAGATCTAATCATACTGGACACAACCTATCTCATACCACCACACATAATCCTGTTACTGAGACCTACCTGTCTGCTCAGGTAACATTATCTTTCTAGGGAGACATTAAAAATAGGCAATAGGGAGACATTAGAAATATTTTTTGGAAGAAAAAAAATCCCAGGGCTCAGAGTCTGAGAAGTATCCTGGATGGGCTTGTAACCATAACCCCAGATTTTATACATTCCTTCATGAAGGTCTGATTGACTCAAGTTATGTCAATATCAGATTAAATGGGTGGAAACATCATCCTATCAGGTGGCAGCTTTGGCCTGAGAGGTGTGGCTAAAAAGGGGAGGTATAAGGGGAAAGGGGTATATAAGGACTCAAATGGCCCCACAAAACCATCTGAGCCTTGGAGTCTGGTGTGACTGTCTGACCTTGCTGAGATTGGAGCTTTTGAGAGCAGTGTCCAAACCAAGTAAGCTATTTATGCCCATCAGGACACCTTAGTGTCTTTTTTTTGTTTGTTTGTTTGTTTTTGTTTTTGTTTTTTTTTGTTTTTGGAGACAGGGTTTCTCTGTATAGCTTTGACTGTCCTGGAACTCACTCTGCAGATCTGGCTGGCCTCAAACGCAGAAATCCACCTGTCTCTGCTCCCAAGTGCTGGGATGTGCGCCACCACTCCCCGGTGAAATGTCCATTTCATCTTAATGTTTTTTGTGTGTCTGTTTTGCTTTATGCTTGCTTGCATTCTTTGATTATTTTGAAGCAGCTGACATCATTTAGACCAGGACAGCCACAAGTCCATATGTAGCCAAGTGTCATGAAACACTAAATGTTCAGCCTCTACCTCCTGAGGCCTCCCTGACCTGCTTGATTATAGTGCGCTAAGGAGGGAATGTTCAAGGACTCAGGCATACTGGGCAAATACCACATATCTGACTTACTCTAGTCTACCTTATCAAATTTTAATTCAAAGTAAATATAGATTTATAAAATGACAAGGAAGAAATTTCCTATACGGAAGAACACTGGGCCATGAGTTCTTGGAAATCATCAAATTGACAATTTTAAGCATTCAATCTGTTTTTTGATTAACCAAATGATTGAATTTTACTTTTTGACTCCCACTCACTAACCCCTTGCTCAACCCTTCCCCTACTCCTCTAGCCTTCTGCTCTGAGGGGTTGAGTGGGTAGGCCCTTCGTGAGTATCTTCCCACACTGACACATCAGGTCTGTGAGATTAGGTGCTTCCTCCCCTGCTGTGGTCTCACAAGGTAAAGCAGCTAGAAGAATACATCACACATATAGACAACTGCCTTTGAGATAGACCACTTAACCAATTGTTTGGGCCTATGTAAAACCAAGCTGCATTAAAGCTACATGTGTTTGGAGAGCCCTAGGTCCTGTCTCTGTATATTTTTTGATGGTGGTTCAGTCTCTGAGAGCCCCAAGGGTCTACATTACTTGGCAGTGTTGTTCTTTCTGTGGTGCTCCTATCCCTTTCGAGGCCTGCAGACCTACTCCCTATTCTTCCATAGGAGTCCCCAAGCTCCATTTGTTTGTCTCTGGGACTCTGAGTCAGCTGCTGGGTGGAGCCTCTCAGAAAATAGGAGTTCTAGCTTCATGTCTGCAAGCAGAACAGAGTATCATTAATAATGTCAGGAACTGGTGCTTGCCCATGGGAATGGTCTCTGGTTGGGGGACATTGTTATTTTGCTATTCAGTCTCTGTTCCATATACCATCCTGGGATTTCTTGAACACAAGCATAAAATTTTAGTCACTTTACTGGAGTTTCTGCATGGCTAAAGTAGATGGTCACTTCATGTTCAATTTCCCCTATGCTGAGAGTAACAGCTAAGTCCAACCCCATATATTATTGGGCACCTGCCTTAGATCAGTTTTATGTCTGATCCTGAAGATATCCCTAACTTCCCTTCCCAGTCAGCTGCAATTTCCATTCACTCTCATGGCCATCTTGCATCTTCCCTGTCTCTGTCCACACCTGACCCTGACCTCAAGCATTATCTTCCCCATCCCCTCTCCCACCCCATTTCCTCCTACCATCTGCCTCTTATGAGTATTTTATCCTCCTTTTATGTGAGATTCAAGCATCCTCACTTGCTCCTTCCTTCTTGTTTAGCTTCTTTGGGTCTGTGGAGTATAGCATGCATATCCTGTATATTGCATAATATCCACATTTTAGTGAGTAATACCATGCATTTTCTTTTCTAACTGGGTTATCTTACTCTGCATGGTATTCTCCAATTCCATTGATTTTCCTGCACTGTTTATGCTGTCTTTGTTTTTAATAGCTGAATAACATTCCATTGTTCAGATATACCACAATATCTTTGTCAATCTTTAGCTATGACCATATCTGCTTGTTTCCACTTTGTGGCTATTAACAGAAAGTTGCTATAAACATAGTTGAACAAGTGTCTGTAGGGCACCGCCCACGCGCAGGGCACGCTGGTCACAGGCGGTGGGCGGAGGCTGTTCCGAGTGCTGTGGCTCAGTGAGAGCGGGTGGGGCGCGGGCTCTGAGAAATCAGGGCTGCAGTGGCGCAGGGCTTGGGTGGGCGAGAGTAAGACACTTCTGGGCCGGCGAAGGATGTGAGTTGAGGCAGTTGCGGGCGGGCGTGAACTGGAGCGAAGCAGTGTGCAGGGCGTTCTGGGAACCAGGGCTCTCAGGAGAAAGTGTCCCAAGGCCGGCTAGCTCTCTCCCACTCCCGCCCCGTTGTGTGGGTTTTGACTTATGCAATGAGTCCAGGATTTCAAGAGACACGTGAGATAAATTGACATCCAGATTTATTGACATGGCGATGTGTCTGAGTGGCGAGCTTTCCCCAAAAAATGTCAGAGGGGGATTGCTTATACAGGAAGTGGGCGGGGCTTTTCTTGAGGCAGAGACCTGTTAGTCTCCTGCCTTACATGATCTACTAAGGGGACATCATGTCAGGTCTCTGGGTTCTGGGGGCATGGCCAAACACCCAGGATTCTACAGTCCCACAAGTATCCTTGTGACATGGGAGAGCATGTTTGAGGTCACCAGCGAATGCATGTACCATTGGGATAGCACTCTGCTCAGGAAAGCTTAACTTGCCCCAGACTCATAATGTGGAGAAAATAATGTGGCTTATCATGTGGCTTATCTGTATAGCTCAGGACACGCAAGTTTGTTTAAGGTGGGAGGAGAAGGGGCAAGAGAATTGAGGGTACCCTGACATAGAAGGGTGCTCTTCTATCTTGACAAATCAAGGTATCTTGATTTGTACCAGAGGTCTTAGTGAGCAGGGAAGATGCGAGAGGGAATGAATGCTTACCTGTTTTTTTTCTGATCCATGGGTCTGCTAAAGGTGGCTGGAGATTGCATATCCAGAGGGAACACAGGGTGCTTAAGGCAGACTAGGAGGCCTGAGAGGACTCAATGAACAGGGAAGATGGTGGAGAAGAAAAAGTTACTTGAATGGTTCAGGTTTCCCAGGTCTGATGAAAGTGGGAGGAAAAGTAGTGAGAAGCATGAAAGAACCCTTTGATAGAAGGCTGCTCAGAGCCTCAATGCATTCAATCACTTAAAGACCATGTTAGAGCATAGCATGAATCCTGCTTCTAAATATCATGGAAGAAAAATGTGATCCATTTTATACAATATATTGTTCCACTGATTGTAGTAAAACTTTTATTGTTTCACATAAAAGTATCAGATTCGGCCGGGCAGTGGTGGTATACACCTTTAATCCCAGCATTTAGGAGGCAGAGGCAGGTGGATTTCTGAGTTCGAGGCCAGC